AAATTTTGGTCAATGACATGAGACAAAGTATATGTGAACTGCTGTATGAAAAGTGAATTTACTCTGTAAATCTTCACCCAAATCCTAATTAAAAAAAAGGAAAAAAAAAACTTAAATGTAAAAGCCAAAACTATAAAGCTCATCAAAGATAAAACAGGGGCAAATCTAGGGGCCCTAATTTACAGCATACACAGACCATCAACCATGACCCAAAATGCACAGGCAGTGGAAGAGAAACTAGATGACTGGGACCTTTTGAAAATTAAATTCTTATGTGCATCAAAAGACTTGTCCCAAAGGGTACAAAGAGAACCTACAGACTGGGAAAAAATATTTGGCTACAATGTATCTGACAAAGGACTTATCTCCCAAATTTGTAGAAAACTTCAATACCTAAACACCAAAAAGACAAACAATCCAATTCAAAAATGGGCAAGGGACATAGACACTTCACTAAAGATGATATACTGGTGGCTAACTAACACATGAGGAAACACTCACGATCATTTTCCACTGTTGTTGTTGTTGTTTGCCGTCAAGTCGGCCCCGACTCATAGCGACCCCTCCTTGGGTTTCCGAGGCAGTATCACTACGGAAGTAGGATTGCCCAACCTTCCTTCCGAGATGTAAATCAAAACAACAATGAGATATCATCTCACCCCAGCAATCATAGCCAAGTTCAACAAGACAGAAAATAACAAATGCTGGGGAGGCTGCGGAGAGACTGGAACTCTCATACACTGCTGGTGGGACTGCAAAATGGTACAACCATTGTGAAAAATGGTATGTTGTTGTCGTTACATAACGTCGAGTCGGACCCGACTCATAGCAACCCCTCCTTGGGTTTCCGAGGCAGTATCACTATGGAAGTAGATTGCCCCATCTTCCTTCCAAGAAAAAGGGTATGGCATTTCCTTAAATAACTGAAAATAGAAATACCATTTGATCCAGCAATTCCATTACTAGGAATATATCCTAAAGATGTGAGGATGTGAGAGACACGACACAAATAGACATACGCACACCCATGTTCATCACAGCACAATTCACTGCAGCAAAGAGATGGAAACAACCTAAATGCTCATCAACAGATGAATGGATAACCAATTTATGGTACATTCACACAATGGAATACTATGCTACATAAAAGAATAAAGAATACATGAAACATCTCACCACGTGGATGAATCTAGAGGACATTATACTGAGTCAAATAAGTCAGTCACAGAAGGACAAATATTGCATGAGTCCATTATTGTAAAAAGTCAAGAAAGGTTTACTAGGGAAGGAAATTCACTTTGTTGGTTACTGGGGATGGGAGGTAAGGGATGGGAAAATTTTGGACTAGTTGGAGGACACATGTTGATTTGGGTGAGAGGAGGAACAGTATGTAAAGAGTCTGTGACCAACATGGTGACACTGGGGAAAGGAAGGAGACTAAAATGTACACATAGGACATAGACAACAGAGGCAAATAACAATATATGCACAATACTGCATCACTACTAACACCAAACACCGGTTACAGATAAATGCATAGGTAAGTGAAAGGATCAGGTCAGGGCTGGCGAATAGGAATATACACTACACCAAGGATAGATTTAGCTGAAAATAATCTTACATATGCACTTGTGCTACAAAATTAGTCACACATATTTGCGGTGTAGTATTATTTAGTGTGGCTTTTCTACCCTTAAGTCTTTGTAAACTCCAAGGTGAATTTGCTATGAGCAACTGAGGAGCTCCTGATTGCTGAAGTTGTCCACCTGGAGTATTTCTGTTGGGAGTGGAACAAAACAATGTTCTGGGAGGTGCCCACTCTCTCTCAGGTGCTTAGAGTTTTGATGCTATGATTGGCTAGTTTGACCACCCTGCTGGGCTCAAAAGGAGGCCTCCTGGAGGCAGAACTCGCTCTGATTGCTGGTTGAGGAAGACGTGCTGCTGAAAGAGACACACACCCCGGAAAGAGACACGTGCTGCTGGGAAAGAGGCGCAGGAGACACGCATCGCTGAGTGAGACACCGAGGGACCAGCACTGCTGGGAAAGAGACTGTGAGAGACTGTTGGCTGAGGGACGGTGGGCTGGGAGAGAGACTGAGCATTTTTC